CAAATAGCATAGAAAAATAGAGCATCATTTTCTCTATTACTACATAAAAAAGAAAATTTCTTCAAGCATTCTATAAGAGATTGATATAGGCCCGTAAAGACTTTTGATATGCTCTAAGTATTTTATATAAAAATATTTTTTTTTTCTAACTCAATATAAAATCAAAATAGTTGTTTTATAAATATTACTTCCTTTTTTTATCAACTGAATATTTATTTCATTTTTCGTTTAATATTCAAATTGTAATTGTGATTGATGAAATAGCTTATATAGATGTATATAAGATAATAATAAGAGCAATATAGAAAATAATTCAAAATAAAAGTTCAATTTTGATCAATAGTATGAAATAAGATTTTGATTGGCTATTAATTCTACCAATCAAAGAAGTTTTATTATGAAAAAAATTTATTTTTAATAAAGATAGAAAAGTAATATAAAATAATTAACAATGTTTTCAATAATTAATTAGAAAAAAATCTTGATAAATCATAATAGATCTTCTGGGTATATATATATATTTTTTGGAACTAAATAAATCCAATGGTATCAAATCTTTTACAAAGATGAATCATTCTTACAATAAAAATCTGATGAAACTAGTGAAATTTAGGATTTTTATATGTTTTTTTTTGTTTTTTATTCTAAGATTTTCTTTTTTCTCGCATTATATAATTGTGCTGTTAAAAATCTCTCAATATAAACAATCAGGCAAGTTTAGATTAAATAAATATGGCTAAAGTTCTTACAACAGCTTCAAAATGTGTGCCAAATCTAATTGTATATATAAATATATTTGATTTAATAATAAAATAAAATTAATTTAAATATATAGACTCTATCATCGAAAACATCAACAATAAATATTCGTTCATTATCACCAATTCATCGATCATATTCAATTGAACATGGACGTTATTCATCATTGAATAATAATATTCATTCAAATCAACAAAATCATATATCAAACATAAATAAAAATCGATTATTACAACCGACTTATTTTATTTATCATGATCCAATATTTATATCGGTAGAATTTTTGTTTTTTTATTATTATTTTAAATAAATATTTTATTATTTTAGAAACGAGGAAATGCATCACAACCTAAAGGATTTTTTGGTTCATTAATAGATAATATTAAAGAAGAATTTAATAAAAATAAAGATATAAAAGTAAAAAATAAAAAAAAATTTATTTAATCAATATATTTTTGATTTTAAGGATAATATTAAAAAATTTCGTGATCAAGCAAAAAAACTTGAAGATAGTGATGCATTAAAAGAAGCTCGAGATAAATATGTTAGTTTTTATGTTTAATTATCAAAACAAATTTTTTTTTTTTTTTTTTTTAAAAAAAAATTTTTGAACGTGAAACAATGAAAAGTTCAGCTGTAATACGAGAAAAAATTGGTGAATTTGGTGAAAAAGTTAAAGAAGTAATATATTTTATTTTTGTTTTTGATCAATTTATTTTATTTATTTATTTCAATATATAGAGTGATGTAATAAAAAAAGCATCAGATATTGGATATGAATTAGGTAAACAAGCACAAAAAGCTGCAGAAAAAATCTCTGAAACAACCGAACAAATAACTGATACAGCTGCTTATAAAAAAGTTTCACAAGTAAAATTCAATATTCAAATAGATATAGAATATTAGTTTGAATTTTATTTACTTTTCTTTTTCTATTTTTTTTTTTAGCGTTTAAGTACAATTAAAGAAGAAGTTGGTGATGCTACAAAATTAACAAGACCATTAGGTTATCGACCACCTGCTATTCTAAGAAAAAGAACTGATACTGATGTAGTTAGAAAAGAGAAAGTCTTCCAGGCTGATACGTAAGTTAAAATATTTAATTATATTATCTTATATCAACATATCTTATTTAAGATAATACTATTATTTAGAAGTGTCTAAACATTCTTCGTTCTGTCATAGATTATGTATTTATTTTGTTCTTTAATAAATAGCGAAAATTCATAGGAGTTAAAACTATAGAATTAAATTCTATGCAATGACATATCAGAGATGTCCATGGCGACAGCGGCACGTTTTTCAAAATTTCATCGCGGCGCGGCATGGCAGCGGCAGATTTTCAGTCGCGATGGACATCTCTGTGACATATTCAGAAAGATAATTGTCTATAGGAAAAATAAATTCTTTCTTCGTAGTAATAAAGATAAGAAGTTCAGACATATCTTCGATCATTATTTCTCTTAATCTTCATTTTACTTCTTCTAAAACATATAACAAACGTTTTCAAGTCGTGAATATGATCTATGAATACCCTGAAAAGAATTCGTGCTGCTAAGATATGGCATTTTTAAACAGAAAACTTATGGTCTCTCTCAGAAATTGAGTTTCAAATTTTGACTTGAAATTTTGCATAGAGAAAAATTTTAGATCTTTTGTTTGTTTCAATCAGCTATAGTAAAAGTATGATTGTATATCGCTCATATACACTGACGGATTTTGATGTTCGTATTTCCGACTAGGACCAATCAAAATTCGAAACTCAGGATATTCATCGATCATTAGGATCTACATTATGCATATATTCATGACTTGAAAGCAATTTGACAGTTAGAAAAATTTTCTCGTCAGATTGAAACTTATCAATTTCGTTATTATTCTCAGTGGTTTTACAACTCATTGAGATAACTAGAAGTATTTGATAAGAATAATAAACAATATCTAATATTGAAAATTTAAATGTTTTTGTTCAATTGAAATAAATCATTTTTAGAATGACAACGAAGATGAATATTATTCAATAGTTAAATACATAGAAATTTTCTTGTTAAATTTCAATAATAATCAATTTTTTGTTGTTTTTTTGTTTAGAGAAACTCAAACAATAGCTGTACACAAAGATTCTCAATGGTATCAAAGTTGGCAAAATTTTAAAGAGAATAATACTTATTTAAATAGTTTGTATTTTATGTTTTGTTTTTTGAATTATTTATTTAATATAATAAATAATATTTTGTTTTTTTTTTGTTTCTCTAGAATTATTTGATCTTAAATCCAAATATGATGAAAGTGATAATTTAGTAATACGTGTTGCAAGAACATTTACAGATAAAGTATCAGGTGCCTTATGTATGTATTTTAAAATTGAATAAATAAATAAATTTATTTTTTTTAATCTATTTCAATATATAAAGCATCAATATTTAGTCAATCGGAAACAAGTGAAGCTTTAACAGAAATATGTCGTGTTGATCCAACATTTGATGTTGCACAATTTATTCGTGTTGTTCAATATGATATTATTCCTAATATACTTGAAGTAAATAAATATTATTTTATTTTAAATCGAATGTTTTTTGTTTTAGTCTTTAGCTCGTGAAGAATTAGAAATTTTAAGAGATTGGTGTACAGAAGCTGTAAGTCATACATATATATATTTATTTGAGTAATATATATATTATTATTAAGGTTTACAATGTACTCATACATCCAATAAATACATCGAAAGCATTAAATCATAAATATCATTTAAAAATTATTGATCTTACAGATGTTGAGGTAATTATCTATGTCTTTTATAATATTCTATGATAAAGAAAAATATTTTTTATCTATCTTGAAACAAATATGTATATCAATAAATATGAAATAAAAAAATATATAATTACCTGTTTAAATATTTCTATATGACTTTTCTTGCGTAAATTTGTATTCATAAAAGATACAAGTTTTAGTTTCATTAAATAATTTCTATTAAGAATCTTTTTTTCAATTGATTGATAATTAATTTTCGAATAGTTTATTAATTGAAAATTATAATTATTTATCAAAATGTTTATAATAATTAATTGAATAAAACTATATATAATAGGAAATTATTCTCTTCTAAGAAAAAAAACTGATATTTAGTGAAATATAGTCAAATAAGATATTTAAAATTTTAATAAATAATTTTTGTTTTAGCTTGTTGCCGCAAAAATTATGGAAATGGGACCTGTTCTTGTAGTTACATTTCAAGCTCAACAAATCGGTTATGTATCTGATGCAAATGGAAAAGTAATAGAAGGAGATCCGGTAAATAATAATATATATATATTTATATATAAAATATTTATTATTATTTATTAATTAAGGAACAAATAAATCGAATAAATTATATATTTGCACTTGGTCGTGATCCAACCATTCTTGATCCTTTATCAGCTTGGCGTTTAGTTGATTTAAGTGCATCAAAAGTCAATCATTTTGTTTGATAACAGTGTCTTTTGTTTTGTTGTGTTTTTCTTTTTCTCAAAAAAAAAGAAAAAAAAAAAAAAGAAATTTGATTAAGTCTAGGAATTGTTTTTCAGTTTTTTTTTTTTTGCTTAATTAAAGGTAATGCGTGATTAATCTGTTCTTATACAAATCATAACTAGTTAATGGATAAATCAATCAAATGAAAAGAAAAAAAAACAAAACACAGCAATTATGACAGACATATGCATTTTATTGAAAATATAAATATTCATTTAATATAAACACATTTATTTTTACATAATTATCAACATAAGATCAAAGACAATATATATATATATATATACATTATCATCATTTTATTTGACAAGTTTTCTTTATTGATTGAAATATACAATATGTAATATAGAAATATAAATGTATATATTTGTCTATAGATATGATTAGCATTAACATTAACAATATGTGTCATATACGATTATCGATTATAAAAGCAAAAAAAGAAATGTTTGACTCTTAAGATTGCTATTCTATTTATGATAATATTGTCTATACATAGAATTATTCATAATCAGAATATAAATGATTGATTGAACTTGTTCAATTGACAATAATCAACGAGATTGTTTTCAATAACTATTCAAAGATATGCACAACCAAAGAATGATCAATGAGGCGGGAAAGGCATCGACACATATATACATATATATATATATATATATCTAAAGAGTATTTACCCAGTATAATTGAAACATGTGATGATAGTCGATTGTAAAGACATTTCAACACGTAATCTCAATAGTAAAATGATTTTTGTTTTATTTTTCAATATTATCTGTCAAATCAATAGTTAACTAATTGATAACATAGAACTAAAACAGATGCAAATAAAATCAATGAATCAACGATCAATATAAATAAGAATGAAGAATTGTAGATATCTACATAAGAGAAACATTATTCTCGTCTCTTTTTCTCTATTTCGATAGGAATACAAAGAAGAAAAAAAAAACGCCCGTGTAATAGACATATAAGACAAAGAAAGAAAAATGAATATGTCGAATGTTTTTCTTTAGAGATACAGAGAAGAAAAATCTAATCATAATATTCATCAATAGATTTTCTCATTTGATTCCATAGAAGAATATCAAACATATCCGAACATCTTTCATTTATATATAATTACATCGATACTATTCAATACATTTCGAATTGACATCAACAACTGACTTTTTTTTTTCTTTGTTTTATGATATTGAAGAGTAATGAACAAGTGAAGAAAGTAATTATTTATATTGAATGAAATAAATCAAAAGTGTGAATAATGAAGAATTTAATTATAATTTCTTATTTTCTATTATTAATTCGTATAATTATTTCATTTGAATATGATGATAATGATCAACAAAATATCGAAACTAATTTTGGTAAGTTAATTCTATAGTATTAGTATTATATTGTGTTTTTTTATCGAATTGAGAATGTTTTTTATTTTTTTGATAATCAGTAGTACTTTCAACAAGTCTTGATCATTATTAAGAAAACATATATCTTAAAAGAATTATTCTCTGTCTATATTATATAATCATCCTGGTTGATGTGATGTTTATTATAATAAAAGATTATTATTTACTATTCAATGATTAAATCTCACTATTTTCTTTTGTCTTTTATATTAAATATTATTTAAGATAGATATTTATTTTAAAAAAAAAATATTCTTATATTTAATCATTAGTTTATTTCTTTTGTCAAGGATATTTATTCAAGGTTATTATCAATATCATAATTCATTTTTTTGATCTTTGAATATAATATATATTGTTACTTTCAGTTTTTTATTAGTTATTATATTAATCGAGCGAACAGTTATGTCTTAGATATTAATATCTGTATAAACAGAATGATAGTAGAAAAGC